GGCTCTTTCTGAATCTATGATAGAGCACGTTTCATAATCACTCAAAGACATCACTCAAGTGGAGGACAGTGGCCTTTCTTTTCACTGCGCTTATGCTGTATCCGCCTTCTTCTCTGACCTTTTGAAGTTGCAGAAAGTGTACAAATGAGTGTGTACCACTACATGGAACCACCCTACTTCATCTACAACCACAACTACTGCACACAAAAGCCATTCCTCCACATGTTGTCAGTGGCACTCTGGATACAATGTCGATTCAATCAATACTCCCACAAGGCCAGCCACATGCCCAGGACTGCCGAGCTAACAAGAAGGCTTATGTGTCTGATGCACGCATGCATGAACACACACACACAAACAAACAAACAGAAAAAGGCATATGATATGTGCTGGCAAACGTTTGCTTGGATTATTGTGTGGAAGATATTGGTTTTTATATCAGGGTCATAAAGCAATAAGTGTGCAGTGTTAAATGTTGGCCAAATTAAACTCATATCTGCATCCGTCCGACATAAAGTATAGTTTGTTCTTAAGTTTATCCGCACACATGCTTTTAAGTGACTTTTGAAAGTCTTCCAGTGGAAGATTTTATTGAATGACCTCTCACAACAAGGACGTCCTTTGTGACGTATTGTTAAAGAAGGCAAACTGAGACTAGTTACACAGCATAAGGTGTGTCAAGTAGATATATTGTTACAAGAAAAACAGACCTTTATCTATGTTCTCAGTGTATTCCAGCGTTAACAACAGATTTAACAGTTTTTTTTATTATATTTGTAAGAGCCCACACTGCAGAGGATTCAGTCAAGAAGCAGGACTGTACCCTTGGTTTTTATACTGAAGCTATTCTAGGACCTTGGGATCTGAAATGTGTATGATCAAACATTACGTTAAAAAAGAACATAGTGAGTAACTGTTGCTCTAAGAATGAAGAAAAAAAAATGGTGGGTGGTGTAATGGTTGGGCGGACAGAAAAATAAAAGGCCTTTACATTTTGCAACACGGGAAGCAAATAAAGCTTTATTCTTTCAAATTCGAATTGGGTAAACTGCTGCTTTAAGTTAATTTCAGGGTTTCAGTCTGATTTGAAATGAGGTCCATACCGATCCAATTGTAAATATTAGGATTATAATAATAATAATTAGGGCCGGGACTCAATTAAAAAAATTAATCTAATTAATTAGAGGCTTTGTAATTAATTAATCGAAATTAATCACATTTTTAATCGCATATAAATATTTGACCTGAGAACAGTGAGAAGCAATTTTTTCACATGGATTTTAGTATACCATTGAATAATGACTGAATACATAAGCTTAAGCAACAAAACATTGTTTATTTTTTTCAAGGTAGTACTTAACCAAGACCAACAGAAAAGTGCAATTTTTGCCATAAAGTGTAGCAATAGCATATTTAGGAATATAGTACATTTCAGAGATTCAGGTAGCCTATAGGTAGGTAGACCTTCTGTAAACGATAACACTTTGTTTTTTAAGTAAAACACAATACTTTCAAGTACATTCAGAACATTGGAAACCCTGACTATTAGAAAACATCTCTCTGTTGCTTCAGAGGCCATAACAGACTTTGTTGATTTACCAACAGTTGATTTAAAAATCTA